CACACACACACACACACACACACACACACACATACACACACACACACACACACAAAGCCCAGTCTAACCTACCCTGATCTTAACTTAACTAATTCCTTATTCTCCCCTTTACTGGCATTCCCCAATCTTCTTCTCAGGAGGATAGCCAAGGCGACACCACAAAATTTCCTTCGACTTTTTTTTTTTTTTTTTTTTTTGAAAAACAACCTGAGCGGCTGCTAGGGGTGCTGATAAGAGCAGACACCACTACACCATCACCTCCCGCCAGTTGATTCCCTCTAGCCCAGGTGAACAGAAACCAATTCCTTGCAGTCGGAGTCCTGCCGGGGTCCGCCATTCTCATCCAGTCTGCCACAATCGTCGTTCGAATGAGGTATTTCAATTTTGCTATGATCCTAGCATCCGTCGTCCATTCACCTCTGTGAACAGGACTATCACATTGTTTGTATCTTCCCAGATCACCCACATTATGGCTGATTTGACTGCACGGGCGACATATCCCCATCCACTGCAGGCTTGAACCCATCCACTGCCAGTGTGAAGCCCACCACCGCCAAACTCTTTTACACGTCGGACAATCCCAAATCAAATGCAACAGGGTCCCTTCTCGGGACCTCCCTTTCGATGACGAAGACAGAACCGTTAGCTCATCATTTGGCTATCCTGAAAGTGTGAGCGGGAGAAGTTGATGGTGGGATATCACGCGTCCTACTAGTGAGGGGCCTAGCTGGTAGGATGGAATTAGGGTACAGCAGCAGTGGAGATGGTGGCTCTGTTGCGGTAAGTCTTGCCGAAGTGGGTTATAGCGGATTGACAAGTTTCTAAAAATTTCTTTTCTCAAACAATGCTTGGTATTTCTTAGCCGAAGCCGGGTAATGGCCCCGGTACTCTAATGTTTGTACAATTCATATGGGACGCTGGGCCCGGTTCCCAGCACGTGTGGCTCCCCACGAATAGATTGGAGCTTTTGTCCCAAAAAAAAAAAAGAAAAAAAAAGAAAAGGGTCCCTTCTTCTCTGCAACCACAACTGTTGCAGAATATGGAGACAATCAGACCTCTGTCTGACAACCATTTTGTCGTTGGTAAAGCAGAGTGTGTGATGAGCCACAGTAGGCCTGTCAGTGATAGTTTCAATCAAGCTTGGAAGGATCACTAACTGAGACCGAACGACCTTCATTTCTGGGATGATCTGGCTCCTATGTCGGTAAGGCAGACTGCATGTTGGATTCTTTTGCCTAGCTCCGCTCTCTATTGTCCCAGACACTTGGCAATGTTTGTTCTCGCCGATATGCACCTTCCATTGCAATGAGGTTTCGGTCTCAGTTCTTTGATTGTCTTCCCTCTCAGGCCTCCCTAAATCACTGAGAATGCAGGAGGGGGCGCGTTAAAAAAAAAAAGAAAAAAAAAAGGATGAGAAGCAGCCCCACTGAAACTGCCATTTTGTTAAAACTGATATTTTTTTCTAAAAACACGAAATTGAACTTAGTCAAATTTCACTCAAATTTGGTGTTAAATTGGTGCCGAATATTGTGAAGGTGTACCGTATATGTTATTAGGGTCCCATCATAGATCATATATCATAGATCATATATCATAGATCATAGATCATAGATCATATATCATATATCATATTTCATAGATCATATATCATAGATCATAAATCATATATCATAGATCATAAATCCTTAATCATATATCATATTTCATATACCATAGATCATATATCGTAAAGCATAGATCATATATCATAGACCATATATCATAGATCATATATCATACATATATCATA